TGGGAACATTGCCACAGTTTAGATAGGGTTTCCTACTGCCAGTCCTGGAGACAGCAGCCTTGCTGAACTCACCCTGCTGTACTTTGTTTTCAATTTGTTCTCCTGTCTGGAAATTGGCTGCTTCTCTTGTCCCAGAGCAATAGTTGTGATAAGGGGAAAAGGTGATACTCTGGGTCACTCTTCTCTGGGGGGTTTAAAAGGTTCTGTTTTGAAATGTGCTTTGGATCTGCCTGCATAGGAAATGGCATTTATACTCATCCTATACACATTTCAGAACTTATAGTTATACGCCTAATTTTAATGATGTTCAATGTCACTAGATTGCATTTTAAGAAGCCTTATTTGTTTAAGAGAGTGTCTCGCTAGAACTCATGATCATACTTGCTCCCAGCTCTGGTTACCAATCATTTTCAGGTTTAACCTGTGATTGACATGTAGATAAAGGATTACCATTACTAACCACACAATTTTCTTCAGCATCTCAAAGTTTTGAAAATGCTGTTGGTTTTAATGAGGACTATTCCATTCAGAACATGTAGCTGCGTTCAGTTCCTTTTAAAATATAGATGAAAGAAAGACACTGAGATTGTCATAAATGAATTAAGCCTATGGATATCAGTCCTGTATCTGAATAGCCTGGATTGAAGGACAGAGGGATCTTACTTTAAAGAACTTGAAAGATAAAACGGATCTCCCTGTTTCAACTTCCTAGATGGAATAACCCTCACATGGAATAACACTGGGGGTTGTTATGATCCTACAGCACACCCCTTAGTCACAACACATGGAACATGTGCAAGGAAACGTGGTATGATAAGAGACAGCATTGCCCAAAACTATATCTCACTACTATGACAACAACATATGCCAGAAAGATGATCCTCCTGAGAACCATCCAAGCATATGAACTCCAGGGAGCTACAGGGGCAGAATTTGAGGGAATAATTTGGCATGCGAAGCAATTTTTGGGTGCACCTGTTAGGTTATCTGTCTTGAGCTATTGAAGTATTCTGTATGTATTTTCCATATGGCCACCTCGTGTTTTCATATTAAAATCCACTCTGTGGATACAGTGTTCCAAGCTTTAATATTACAAAGATTTTTATGTGTAATACCATTATGTCGTTTTATAGGTTTCAGAATTGATTGACTGTCAGTCAAAACAGTCCCTGACAAGTTCCAAAAGAGATGTGGAAAGTGAGTAAGTAACAATAGTTGATAGCCCCTAGGAGTCAGTAATACTGTATTGCATATACAATGTATTGGAAACTCCTTTTCGTGAAAAATGTGTCTTTTCAACAGCTGCTATTCGGGACTGGTTTCACCTCATGAAAGGGTAAGAGATGTAATTTCAACAAATGAATCTAACACCCCTTTCCCAATTTTCATTTTGAGTACATGTACTGTTTTTGTCCTATGGTGTAGTAGTAACCATATGTTGTGCTGCCATTTACCAGTACAAAAACGCCCCCTATATGTTTAGTAATGAAATACACCTGGGCCAATGATCAGAGGTTTGAATCATTTGTGTATTCAGTATGAACCAACCTTTCTGGACACAGGTTGGCTACTTAGGGACAGGTCCTCTGTCTCCTTGTCCAAGTCCACCCCAGGTTTCCACAGACAGAGCAGACCATCCTCCCCTCCTGTCACGAGGGACTGGGTCTAAGGCAGGCAGGAAACATTACGGTTGGTAGTTCAAGACAATTCTAACAGTACTGTACATGGAGTAAAGCCACTAAGGTGCAAAGTAGGCCAAATAGGCCCACACTATAACATGTACATCGATGAAGGTCAGACATCCAGGTTACTTGCCTAGCAATAATTTGCATATGTCTTCAAATAATTTGCATGTATATGATGATCAAAAACAGCAATCGCTCGTATGACATACCATGGTAGCAGCTACTTAAGAAACTGGATTGATTTTGAAAACGGTGGATCAGTGACAGATGACAGGTGTCAGAAGCTACTAGCGCCTGAAAGTGGCCATTTTCAAAATCTATCCAGTTGTTTGAGTAACGGTTACCATGACAATGTAGTGTACCTTATCTTGCCAGTGCAGACATCTTATAGTTGACAGGTGCCCATCTCCCAGACTGTACAGCGGCTTCAGTGTCTTCTTTTTCCTCTTCACTTTGTACACATTAAGTCTACCACTATTAAAGGAAAACACCAATAATCATCACACTTCTTTCTCTATACATTTTCAAATGTTCCTAGAGGAACTTGATTTGGTTTGATCTTGGCAACCAGAAATACTAACATTATGCATCACCATAAAAGAGATTTTATTCTAGTACTCCAGTGTAGTAATCTTCACCTGTGTAAGCCACCTGCTAACAAAAGCTTCTGTTGTTGGGCATCCCAAAAACAGTCCACCAGATAGTCTACAGCCCCCTGGATAACATGGAGAATATCCAATATGTTATAGAATAAAATAACAGTATAGGGGAGAAATAGGAGAATAGGGGACTGTTAAAGCCATGTAAGATTTTTTTGGCCTCAAGATCACAAGGTTGAGGGTTCAAGTCCAAATCTATCAATTGCGGATAAAATTCACTGATACATGAGCTACGGGTTTGCTGTATCTTCAGATGAGACTTGGTAAACTGTTGGTCCTACCAAAGTGTTACTTTTCCTGGTGACATCATCTGTCTCTGTGGCAACCTCCTTGTCCTTCATGTGTTTGATAGTGGCCACAGGTGCATGATGGTCCAACTGGGGAAAACAGTTAATCTTAATGTTCAAAAGTACAATGTATTTCAAATAGCCAAGAAAAATAGTCTGACAAGATACTTCACATTTACTACAACTTGTGAACAAGTACAACATGTTGTAATTATGAATTGATTAGGTTTTACTCAAAATGTAAAGAAATTCCCTGTATGTACCTCTTTTCCTGAGTAGTCTTTAATATCCTCAAAATTACCAATCTGGTCTGCCTGCAAACAGGAAAGAAAAAAAAGTATGTACAATGTATCTCTTAATCACACTTGTGACCTTGGATAAACTCTAACAAGTCATAATGAAGAACAGATATGCTTACATGTACTTGGATCCATAAGCCACAATAATGTTGCCCTGAGATTTTGATGATAACTTTATTCCCATGAAATGCTACTGTACCTCGTCAGTGTCCCACAGTTGCAGAGTCTCCACATGTGTCACACAGTACAACTTGTCTGAGTTTGGACCATACCATCCTATCCTACTCTGGAGGAGGGAAAACAAAAGACATGTGCACTGCAATATCAGATCTAGGTCTGAGAAAAATGGGCATGTTTGAGGAACTACCTGTATATCTTCGCAGTAGCGACAGGTGCAGAAGAAAGAAAGTCGGCAAATTATTTGTTCGCGGTAATGATAAATTTGTGTTACAGAAGTGACCCCGAAAACTGTGAATATAAATGTACCGCAAATATAGAGTGATTTACATAATATCATAATGTAAGACAGAAGTATGAACAAGAGTTGTATATTGAAGGAGCCAGTCCTTACCACAGATGACTCAGTATTGAGCACATTCTCTACTGCATCATCCTCGTCACTCTGTCTGATGTCAAATATGCTGATCAGCCCATCAGTGGACCCTGTGGCCATCTTGTGAGGCATGCTGGGATGGAACTTCACCTGTACAGCAGGGAAACCACATCAAAGAAAAATGTACACATTCAAAAATCTATCATAATATGTGAATGGCAAAAGCACATAAAGCTTCCAAAGGTTCATTTGCTCAAAATATTTTCAAAATATTACAATTTTGTTCTAATTTTGGAATCACATGTAACAATTAATAGTCCTCATTAAAGCAAAACCCGTTGATGTATGTGTTTACTTCCCTCACCTGTGTGATGTCATCACTGTGGGAGTCTGGGTAGGTGTGCACAATCTGTCCTGTCCTGCTGTCCCTGGAACCAGAAGTGGACATTACCACAATGCGATAGTGAACGCACAGCCAAAATGTATCAAACAGTGAATGATAAGTACATGTATTCCACTTGAAAAACATCTAATTTCTAAAGAACTTATTAACAAGACTAAATAAAATTCTTTCATCTTCTCTGAACACGGCAGATAAGCTGTCGCAGTCTTCTGCACCAATGTTTGAATGGAATACTAGTAACGTTAGCCCTGCTGCCCAATGAATATCCGGCAAGTTCTCCCACATGTGTGTACTGACCATAGGACCAGGTTTGTGTCAGGCATCCTCTTCTGACAGCCTCCACAGACCACAGTGTCATCACAGTTCACATCCAGACTGCAGAACTGGTCTCCTTCAGAACCTGTTCAGAGAACCATGGAAGCTGTTAGAAACTAAACATCCCTGTGTCATGACGTACATATCAAGATGGCTGACACACTTTTACTTACATGTGAATGCTACCTGAAACGTCTGACCATTTCCAAAATCATATCCAGTTGCTTGAGTAACTGGTTTTTGGCATATCTTATCTATGTCTAACCTTTACTGATTTAAACATCCCTGTGGTTTACCATCTTACCACCATCATGTTAGCTTTCAGATCAAAAGAGACAATGACAATACTTACCTTTCAATATTAGGGCAGGTTTTTTATTGCCGACTCTTAAGTCACAACACCTGATGGTGCCATCTAATGACGACGAGTAGAGCATGCTGGAATTGGTGTGTGCAAACTTAACCCCAGAAACTACATCAGTGTGACCTGCAAGACAAGATAGTAAGCATTATCTGTTAACCCATGTTAAATATAATAATAATACAATGTAATATCATAATTGATTATTACACTGACATGCTCAGAAACAAATGAATCAACATAGATATAGTCAATCTAATTCAGTAAAGCACACAAAAACTTTTGACAAATGTGTGATAATTCTTTTCCAAGATGTACCATACAGTACACCATGTATGTGACTTCTCATACCTTCTAGTCTGTGCTTCAGTGCCAGTGTTGCTGCTTGATACACCTGGACTGAGTTATTGGACCCTAATGATAAAAGGTTGCACTTGAGTTATTACACCAAGCAGTTTTTACTGGGTATATCAAAAGCACTTTGTGCAAACAAGCATTCAATATCATGACACAGTGCCTTTTTTTTATCAAATGTGTTTATTTCTGATATGATGTTAGTAACCCACAGGACAAGCTGATTTTACTATATACACATATACTAGTATATACCAGTGACGTTTTCTTGTATTAAAAAACATTATCCTTATTCTGTCAACTTGAAGGCTATCTATTCATTATTGAATTCCCTTACCCATAGCTGCAAGGAGACCGTCCTCTGTACCTGGATCAGAACTAAAGAATAAAATCATATAAAAATCATTCATTTTGATAATGTACATTGTGATTTTAAAACTTGAGATGATGTCAGTAGTATCTGGACTGTTTTCAATTGTCTATCGTATAAGACTCACTAAAGTAAACAAGTTTTGTCAGTTAAAGGCATTGCTACAAATAACTAGTACAAGCTTTGAACTTGAAGGTAGGCAATCAAAACTTTTGGTGCACTCACCTGGCCTGCCCAGCTATGTCAAAGATGTACGCAGCACTAGTGGTACCTGCACTAGTGGGACCTGGCTTCTTCTCTGGTTTGTGTTTTGGCATGATTCTCTGTCAAAAATTATCGGCAAAATTATCTGCATCAGCAAAATACCTTGGGGGCGTGACGGCTACTCATAACTGTAACCGTCCTTAGATAAATGCATTATACCCCAACACAAGAAACCACGACAATCAAAATTATGCTTTATGATCATGCCTTCCCGAACACCAAAACTTGTGATCAAACTCGAAGTAAAATTTCCAACGCCGCCCCTCCCCAACACAACAAAAACTATAGGCTCGATTGGGAATGATCGCGACAATTTTTGAAGGCGATCACAATTCTGTCAACGCGTTAAAAGAGCTTCTTACTGTTTCGATCCGTTTACTGGCAAGATCTTCGACAGAGTGAAGTAGATCCGTCCACAAAATCAAACGGAGGCGTGTAACGTTAGATGTGGGCAGCCATCTTGGTCCGGACCATTCAGAATTAGGGGTGCAATAATGTAAGTATCCGCCAGGAGACGTGGCTGAGCAGCCGTTGCCATGGACAACGCCTAGCGTCGTGACGTACATACCAAGATGGCTGACACACTTTTACTTCGAGCTCTGAAGGGAAAGGCGAAGAAATTGAACTTTAGTAACAAGAAACTGGATAGCGTTCCCCCAATCATAGGAAAAATAGTGAGCTTAACGAACGTCGAGCTGAAAAACAATAGAATACGTGATCTGCCTGCAGAGTTTGGATCTCTAGTGCAGGTAAGTTGTTCAATCGCAACTATCCCAAACAAATCCAGGAAGTTTAGACTAGTGTTACAGCAATCTGTCAAAACATTGCTACTAGTAACTAAACAAATGTTCCCTACCTTCTCCAGTTGGCGATATTGAACCTGGGGAACAACGAACTTGAGGATCTGCCGGAGGCCCTAGCCTATCTCCTGTCTCTACAGAGATTGCACGTCTTTCAGAACAGACTAAGAACCCTCAACCCCAGAGTTCTCAGTAAGTTCTTTTCTTTCTCTTTGATCCAAAGTTATGGATGCACATGGACATGTTATCCATAAGTCAAACATAATCAGTACCAGAACAATCGTGTTGAATGATCATAATTTGTTTCCTTTGCGTTCGTATTAAGAATGAAGACCTTTTTGTTGCATCATATTTTGTTGCCTTTCACTGTTTCAGTTGGTTTACAAAACCTGACTCTGCTTAATTTGAACCACAATGACTTGGTAACGCTGCCAGAGGAGATTGGGAGGTAAGCAAAGACATTGTATGTGTACCAATTGTTTGTTTCCAACTTTCCCCTTAAGGATTTGTATCTACCATTTTTACACACATCTTACTGTATGCTCCAGACTGTGTAGCCTACAGTACCTGAGTCTGGATCATAACCACCTGGTGCACCTGCCCTCCACCCTGTGTGCCTGTGTGGAGCTGACAGAGCTACATGTGGCTTACAACAACCTGCAGGGTCTGCCGCTGGAGATAGGCTACCTGACTGGACTTACCAAACTACATCTGCAGAGGAACAGAATAAAGGAGCTCCCAGAGGTATGACATGGGCAGAAAATACAGAAAAAAGAAGCCAACATTTTCCAAATTGTACTGTAAATCTTGATATTCATCAATGTGGTTAAAGCACACGACATTGACAATCCATTTGGGGTACTGGTATTACAAGTTGATCTTTTGAGGGAACCAAGGCATGTAAATTTGTGGAGGATGATGGTTGTGTGATGTTGTGTTAATACAGGGTCTCGGCAAGTTACTGAAACTGACCTACCTTGATGTGGCTGGAAATGAACTGAGGATATTTCCAACTGAGGTACACCTTTCACTTTGAACAGTCTGCTTTTGGTGTTTGTTATTTGCACTGGGTGTTCTATTCTGAGTTCATGGGGTGGAAAATTTACACTTTGTTTATTTCCTTGTTACTCTTAGTTGGGGAAACTGCCCATACGGGAGCTGTACTGTGAAGAAAACCCACTGCTGAGCTTTGCGCCTGTCCATTCTGTTCAGGAGGAAGAGGTGTTAGCACTCAAGGTAAGAGTTAATCTACTCGGTCAATTTCTTTTGTCTTTAAGGTTTGATTACGTGATGACCTTATGTCTCATTTCCTGTGTTTGAAATGAGTTGTCTTGATGATAAGTGATCACCACCATTCTTATGTGTTCTACAGGAGATAGCTGCACGTTTTGTCATGAACGAGCTGAAAGATAGGTACGTTGGTATTATGTTGTAATATCGTTGGTGAAGTTTGAACGAAAAACAAGTCATGACTGAAAAAAACTGAATGGGATACAAAAGAACATGCTCTAACAGCTTGTGACATGACCTTACAGGTTCTCCTACATGAGGAAGGCTATCCGCCACTACCCTGCCATCCGTGAGATGTTAGCTCAGGCCAGCCGATGTGCCATGTGTGACGAGGCCTTCCTCAACACATGGCTGGAGTGTGTGCACTTCATCGACGTCAGAAAGGTAGTCACAACTTCTCATTTATCCTTGATGTCTTGTATTTTATGATTTGGCTAATTTTTTCTGCCATTCAATACAACATACAGAATTAGAATGCAGAGTTTTAAATAATTGTTTTTCTACAGGACTTGAAGACAAAGAACTACGTGGGAACTATCCCTGTTCGGGCTCTGCTCTGCTCCTACAAGTGTTTCAACAGGAAAGATCATCATTTCTATGGAGTTGCCTTCCCTTGAAAAGGAATTTCTGGGTTAACTTTAGTACTAACAATGTATAACAGATCATGTGGGCAATATTTAAGATTTAATGATACTCCTATGTACATGTATTTTAAGATAATAAATTCATGCACCAAGATACAAACCAATGAAATATTTTATAAACATGGCTTTGTAATAGAACTATTTTTAGACTGAATCTTGTATATGAGAGTATAACATACATATATACATTGAAAACCAATAAAGATGACCTTACTCACCTATTTCATATGCCTCATACATTTTCCTTTGGGTAAACTGACAGAATAAACATCTACACGTTGTTTAATGCAAAACAATAGACACAAGAAAGAGACAAAGCATCATCTTCATGATATTCATTTTAATTGTAGCTTATTTGAAATGGCTACAAATTTGTTTCTATTATCTGAATTCATTGGTACATACAGAAAATAGGTCCTCCCACCATGAAGGGCTTGTGTCCCCATCGCAGCTACATGTACATCAGGACTCCACCACTGCTAACTCCTCACCACACACAAGACAGTACACAACTGAAATGCCAGGCTGACAAGGGAGCACTTTGCTGCAGAAATATCAATCAAAGCCCTACGTTCTGCTGTCATTTCCTTCAGAAATATTCCTATATTTAATTCTACTCTTGAGTGGTGTAATTTTTGTTAATTACTGGGTAATCATTGCCTTGTGTCATGAGATGAGTTAGCATGTGCAAAGCAATTTTTATTGAGACTTTTTCTGGCCATTCTACAAGAAAGTGTTTTAGCTTTGACAGCAGGTTCTTGACTGTGCTCTTAATGAAGGAAGCATCCAAAGACCTCAGTGCACTCAACATGATACTATTGTGCCATCCACATGGAAAGCCCTATACAAAAACTGCAGAATATGGCAGGCTGCATGTCCCGTTATTGTATAAAACATAAATCTGATACAATAATGCTCCACACTTCCACCTGCTTTGTTACATTTATAAAAAGCTTACTGGAAATCTGTTGCTTTCATTATAATATAATACAATGGTTGGAGTTTAATTTGCCCACCTAATGTCAGATAATAGCATCCCTTTCCACAGTTACTGCAAAAACAAAATGTTATAAAGAAGACTGACATTTCCTGTCTACACAAAAACTACTTGCTCTTCAGGGGTGGTGAAAAAAGTAAGAATGGCACATCTTTGTAGGGGAAGAATCAGAAAGGATCGTGGGTTTGGGAGAAAATATTTTGGTTTAACTCAAGAATTTAATTTTTCATGTTATTCTATACTAAACTATGGTCCTTTTCTGTTCCATCCAACACTTCAAAACTTTGTTTATCTCTTCAATTTAGCTTCTCTCCCCACAACCCTTCCTTGTCCCTAAATTGACTGGTGGCTTTTGATTAGAATACTTCAATGTGTGCATGCTGCAGCAGTGAGTACTACATGTAGTACTATTTAACAAAGAACTGGAACACATGAGATAGATGATATAATATACGTGGCTCTCCCATTAAATGATTCTGCTCATCTTGATTAGATGTATAGAAAGATAGAAACTAACAATACAAGTACATGTAGCATGGGATACACATAACACAAACTTAGCCATTTCAGTTTCTTTGCCTCAAATATTCAACAGATATTTACAGAAACTGAGCAGTTGCTATCAAAATTTTTGTTTGACCACATACACTGGTCAATTTCTTCTTTCAATCACCAGTGAAATTGTTTAAGTTCTGTGCTGTTATAAATGCTGTACATCAAACTCATCTTTTTGCTTTTCTTAAAATATCCTGAAACATTTGTCTTTGCTTCTAAGCCCATAATTACTTCAATTTGGCATCACCCCACTACTGTTACCGAAGGAAATGATGCAGCAGGATTTTCCTAGACATTTTTCACAGTTCGTCTCCCATGGTTACTTTTTTCTATTTGAAAGACATCTAGCACAGGTCATAGCTGTTGTGCTTATAGAAAATGCCCATCATCTACCAGCAAACCTATGCCATGTTCACAGAACTCAAGATAGGGCAAAAGAAGCTTCTAAGCTAAAGAAGCTGCAAAAGGAAGCTTCCAAGTTAAAGATGGAACCAAGCATATATTTTTGCCATAAGGTAGATGTATGGATCACATATTATTCACAATTTGAGTGGATCTTTAAAGGCCTATTGGACTTTGCATACTAATGACTTATCTATGGTTTAAGGTGACAGACTCCTGTTAGCCTGTTAATATGCTCCATTGCACAGTGTCCTCCCACACTAATCATCAATACATTATCCAATTGTTTTATCAACCTCTACACCATAGCTTTTGAATGCTCCTCGGCACCTACGATTTTTCTCTGTACAAATTTTATACAATTTCTAAGAGAAGATACCGGTAATCACTGAAGGCTTTTTTTCCTGGAGTCTGCCACACGTCCAGACAATGCATGGCAAAACCCTTTTGATTGAGTGCAGAGTCTACAAGCATGTTAACAAACTAACAATACACATGTACTGTGTCAATATGTCTACCACCCATATCAATACAGTACCATTACACTACAGTAAGGCTAGGGTCATTGCCACAGGGCAGCTGGGAAGCTGTTCACTTCTCCCATGTCATTGACATCAGTACCCTTGTAGTTGTACGTCAACTTTATTCTCATCCTGATTGGTGCCTAGGAAAGAAAACAAACATGTCAGAAACAGTGATAAACACAGATATTGTTACTGAAACACAAGGGACATTCTTGATAAAGACTGAATTAAAGTCGAAACCGGTCGAATCCCGTCTCGAGTCTGTCATCTTCCCATCGCTACGAATGATGAAACACAAGGGACAAATACAGCTAGGTATTTGTCTAATGCCAACCAAAGAGTATAGTTTTCAAGTTCATGGAAGCGGTCTGACAGTTTTCAAAGAAAACAGTAGCAGACTTAGGAATACTGTGCAGCAGCTTTCTTTTAGCTCTTTACCTCAACTTTTTCATGACTTCAGATAGCATACATCATCACAATACAATGCTACTCACTTTCTGTGGGTTGAGGATCTTGATGACCTGTGTGACTACTCCCATGTTAGATGGAGGCACCACACTACCAGATGGGGACTGGAGCTGAAGCTGGAATGTCTGGTTGGGAGCAATACAGGAAAAAAGTTAGCTTAACAATTTCCTCCTATTTATTTCAGATATTATCTTAAAAGTTCATCTGTGTTGGTAGAAGTCATTATGAAACAAGTTTGAACTGCAATAGCCAACACAAAAAATTGGACCCAAATTTTTGACTGTACAACTCCAGTCTTTGTCAAGGAATAAGGAATCCCTTTAACAGAGACGGGGGAACCACAGACTTTCTACAACCTATAATTTACTACTCACGGAGTCACGTCATGGAAGCGGTGGATTGCTCATTCCTTGACAAAGACTGGAGTTGTACAGTCAAAAATTTGGGTGAGTCCAGTTTGTTGTGTTGGCTATTGCAGTTCAAACTTGTTTCATCATATCAGATATGTTGTGAAATGGATTTGGGAAAAGTTGCTGAAAACATAACCTTTTTCAGCAAAGGTAATGACACAGACCTTTGGAACGGCAGCCTGGAACACAAACTCATTCATGGGTGCATCCGTACTGTTGGTGGCTGTCAGGGTGATGATGACTACGTTAGCATTGCTGTTGTCCCGCTGGAAACTGAAGCTGATCTTCAGCCCATTCTTTTCATACGCTGTTAGTGATGGGATACCTGGACACACAACACAGACTGGTCAATATCCTGTTACCTACATGATACAAGTAATGGATTGATTCTGGCTGTTCATCAAAGTTAGCAGGTAAATTAATAGGAGAGTACTAGTAGCTGTTGTAATACATGTAATTCAATTAATAAGAGAATAGCTGTTGTAATAGTTACCTAGGTTGTTGGCAGACATTTGCACAGCTGGTTGTGCAGCGACACCGTCCATCAGACCTCCCAGCATGTCCATCTGGGGCTGAGGAGCGGTCATACCAGGGACCATGGGAGCTGGACCTGAAGAGAGCACCAAATTAAAACTTTTGTAAGACTTGTAGTTCCATTACACGTCATTTGCGTAATACATTGAGAATACATTTCTACAGCCATTGGTTACATCAGCACAGTGTTTGAAGTAGCACGTCGGCAGAACGTACTGCGCCTGCGTGAAAACCCGATTTCTCACAATTTTCGTTGGATGTTTGAATGAGAATTTTGCCTGTTGCAGAGGATCTTTCCTGACACAACATTTGGAAACTACAGCCGGGATGTTAACCTTATATACGCGAATACGATCTTATTTCAGACATTTTCCTGAAGTGCTATGCACAATACATTACAGGTTGAGCACAGGTGCAGTACGTTCTGCCGACGTGCTGTACAAAGTTCTGTTCAGTCCAAGGAGGAAGACACACTAACCTGCAGCAGGTGAGGACAGGTCCAGGCCCAGCAGATCTCCCAGCAGGTCATTACTGGCAGCAGGAGGTGCTGCAGGCTTCTCCATCTGTGGGATGACTGGGGCAGGGCTCGGTCCTCCTCCTAACAAGTCCAGCAATGCATTACCCTGTAGGATGGACACAAAAAATGCAGTCTTAGCATATGTTACACCATCAGCAGGTTGTTCACAAGAATATCAAGCTCACGTTAAATGGAGGTCCTGAGTTTGGGGAGAGCCACACCCCACGCACATTAAAGAATTCACCACACTTATCAAAAGAGTAGGGGACCTTCCCGGTATGAGTGATTCAAACCTTACAGTTCTAAGGCTGCACTTGGGATCGTACTCAGTAACCTGAGTTAGCGCCGAATGGCAGCCGCTCCAGACCCTTGCGATTAAGCCCAATAATTGTAAGCTCCTCACAATTCAGCCGTTGGCTGCAATGAAAGTAGTTGGCCCACCCAATAACAATAACAATAAAGCTATTTACCCAATAACAATAACAATAAAGCTATTTCTTGTGTCAAACATTACTTTGATTACAACACTGACCTCTTCCTGTTTCACGGCAGGGCTAGCAGGAGGTGACACTGCTGTGGTCTCTCCATTTGTGTTTGCTTCCTCTCCATCGCCTTTACTTCCTACCTTGGCATCTAATGGTGGCATTCTCTCCAGGAGACCAGACCTGAGGGAGGAACAGCAGGCTAAAGATGAGAGCTTGAACAATCAGGAGAGCTGCCAAGAGCATTGTTAATGTACTGCACCACTCGGTCTTCGCACATACATGTAATACATTAAAGAGGGGCAAAAGGAAGTTAAGAAATGT